GCCTCCTTGAGCGCGTCCTCCAGCCGCTTCGTCTTGCGGTCCGAGAGTCGGCTCACCTGGAAGACAGAAGGGAACATGGCGTTAGGCGTGCAGCTGGGAGGGCCCCTTACGGGCGGGGGGTAGGCCGTACTGCACGACAGCCGCGTGCGGCGGGCTGGCCTACCCACAGGCGCGCGGTGCGGTACTTACCTTGTCCCACAGCGACGTGAGCTCGCTGAGCTGCGTCCTGATGGCCGCCGCGTCCGCCGCCGTCGCCTTGTCCATGAGGTCCTTGCCGGTGCGCTTGACAGACTCCACCTGGGCGGATCGGCTGCTGAGGTCCTCCTCGAACTGCTTGTGCTGCTCGACGAGCGCCATGACCGTGTCCAGGTCGCCGTGCACGGGGCCGTCCTCGCTGAGGATCTTGTCCACCTTGTAGAGCCAGTCCATGAGCGCCTGGACGGCGTCCTTGAACTGTCCGCAGTACAAGAGTGCTTCCTCGAGGCGGCGCTGTCGGTCGACGGACATGGCGCAGACGGCGGTCCACTTGTTCTTGAGCTGGGTCAGCATGTTGCGCAGGGCGGTCTCGTCTGTCTTGGGCGCGCGGTCCTTGAGCGTCTTGCCGGCACGCATGGTCGCGTCGTAGGTGGCCTGCTTGCCACTGAGGGCACGCTGGAACTCGCGGTGCTTGGCAAGGCGCTGCTTGATGCGCTCGGGATCGTTTCCGACGCCCTCCTCCACCTGCAGCTCCTCGAGTCCCTGCTCGGTCTCCGTCAGCCACGACATGAGGCTGGACCACGCGTCGTGGAACTCCCTAGCCTCCTTGTAGCCGTGGTCGAGGGCGCGCGTGCGCTCGGCGCTCTTTGACACGACGCGCTCCCAGCGGTGCTGCACGCTGATGAGAAGGTTCTTGATGAGGATCACGTCCTGCTTCTGACTGAAGTACTTGAGGTGCGTGCCCTTCTTGTCCAGGTTGAGCATGGTCTCGCGGTGCACTCCCACGTCCTTCTGGAAGGCCTTGTGCTCCTCGATCTGTTGCAGGATGGTCTCCATGACGCGCGACACGGGCTTCAGGTTGCTCAGGACCTTCTCTGCGTTCGTCAGCCAGTCCACGAAAGCCTGCAGCGCGTCGTGGAACTCGGTGGCCTCCTTGAGCGCG